CCCAACATCTTATTTGCTTTACTTATAGCAAAGTCAATGTGATCGTTCCAGGATAAATTTGAAGAAACATGAACGCCTAGATCTTTCTCAGTTGAAACGACTGCAACCTGTGACCCACTCAGATTATATGATGTGTGCATAAAACTCTTTTTCTTTGTCACGATAAGGTGCTTACACTTATTAGCGTTGAAATTCATCAAATGCTCAGACGACCAACCAGTTAAGCTTAGCAAGTCTCTTTGTAGTTGAACTGCGTCAGCACCGTTATCAATAACTCGATAACACTTCATATCATCCGCATAGAGTTGGACAGTAGTCTTAGCATCCGTCACACTTGGGGCACTGTTAATATATATTATAAACAACAAGGGTCCCAGGATAGACCCCTGGGGCACACCGGATGAAATAGGTAGTAAAGAAGATGCTCGGCCATCTATAACTGTCATATGCAAACGATCTGTCAGATAACTTCTAAACCAAGATAGCAAGTTCCCTCTTATGCCAAAGGCTTTGGACTACATGCATATGGTATCCGAGGTTAATTCTCGTCTTGGCATAAGTGCTTCTTTAAAAATCGATGTAAGCAAGTCGTTATACTGGGAAATTATTCATCATAGACCTCCCTTTCGACTAATGTACCCCAGGGAACTGGAAAAATTTGGAAGAGCGACAGAAAAATCTTATTCGCTCGGAATCTTTGAGCAAAGAGTGCCAACTGAAATTCAACACTGATAAATGTTAGAGAAAAGTTTAAGGAGTGTACACATTTTTTTTGACATGTCACCCTTTTTCCCGCTCTTTCGTGGATTTGCTTTGCTTACTAAGTGTTGTAAGAGAGTAAACAGACATAGTGGTCTAGACCCCTCAGAATTGTTTACGTTTGCAATTGATTTTCAACCCTTTTAAGAGAAGAAATGTCTCAATCTTAAGTCTGCGTCCACACCTTTAAATAGTTTTAAATGCTATTCTTTCATACGTTAAATTGGTATATGGAGTTATTTGCAGGGGCTATCTATCATCTCATATCCAACGCGCGCTCGTGGAATAATTGTTAATTATCTCCTTTTCGATATTCGGTTGAATTGTGCACTGAAACAGTCGTTAATGCTTAAAAAGTAAAACCAAGCGTTTTCGACTTTGGGTTATCATTATCATTATCATCGTCATCAGAACCTATTGTCGAAAACGTTTGGTTTTTACGTCGTCTTGTAATGAGTTTATTTTGAGTTATTATTTTAATGGTTATTTCTATCATTATTATCATAATTATTACTATTTACAGTTCCAAAATAGGCTGGCACATTTCAACATACCTATGAAAGGTAAGCAATGATTTATATGCTATATATTGTTACATTTGGCTAATTACACTTCTCGGGCATAAATATGTGTATAGATTATCGCATTAATAATCAATAATAATAATAACGCTTTATTTAAACTGAAAAAAAAACCAACAGTGAATTCAACATAAAAAACGCTGGTATAAACCGATGATCAGTGCATAGAAATACTATCAAAACTACAATTCGCCATCGATGCAAGTTAAGATTAAATTAAAAATTACCAAAACCTATTTACATTAGTAACAGACTTATACACCACATTTGTGTTGTGCCTTATCTGATTCTATTAAAGTTTAAAAGTTTTAATTTTTAAATTTATTAAAACTAAATTGTATCGGAATTATTTTCCACTGAGTAGTGAACTGTAATAACTTAATGAACTATATATTACGTGACTTAACATTCTGAATAAAAATCATTATTACAACTATTATGACTTCATTGGGGTAAAGTCGGTCGTGATTGGTCGAGTTGGTCACGCTCGATTTAAGTGGCTTAAGTTTTACAGGAAAAAGCATCACGGAAAAACCACCCATTCAGCTCACACGAAGCGGACAGATAACACTCGACTGACAACAACTCTTTCTCGATCTTAGTTAGCTGGATGATTCTGAAAATAATTGCAAAAGCGAACCGAAAACTGTTAGTGAAAATTTACTACCCATTTGCAGTTGCAGGTACAAGTTGCTACAATATCGTACTGGATAATTGCAAAACAAGACCTAAGTTATAATCCTAGCTTGATTGTTTACATTTAAATAAAATCTGTCGATCGCCAACAAATACAACTTTTTGCCATGATTTTAGGTTTCCTACCTGAGAAAGATGTCGCTGACATGTGAGAGTAAATAGAAGCAATGGTTTTCATATGCCTACATGATCTCAAATACAGCAATTGTTGAAAGCCGAGTGCGTGACTACAAATGTCGTTCATGTTGTTTGATTTTACAGAATGATCCCATCTCCAAGACCATTGGTCATTCGGTGGAGACTAACGCATTACTGATTCCGAACTATCATCAAGTTCGTTTAAATAATGATAAAAAAAAATAGAACTTATCGAAAGATTAGGCACTAAGTTACAATCAGCAATCACATTTGAAATATTTTAAATGACAATAAAGATCCAACCGTCCATCACTAGAGAAATGTTGCCACTGATTCATAATATTCATATTTGAAAACGCAAAGGAAATACAGCTCGGATGTCAAACACGACTGTGTATTCTCCTGTTTACGTCTACATGTGTTAGGTTCTTCCTCCATTGTTAATACGAATGCGAAATGATTCTACGTAAACATGAAAGATGTTATTGCCTAACCTTAACTACATTTGTATCTTACCATTGCCTCTGTTGATAGTTGACGTTTCATTCACAGATCGTCAATTTAAAACCGCCAAGAAAAGCTCGCCAGTCGATTGGTTCTTCCCACAACCTTTGTAGCCTAGTTCAAGAGAAAATGGATCGTTCAGAGTTGAGACGTTTGAGAGATATCGAGCTGTGTTGCAACTAGAAGCACTTCCGTCATGTCCGATGCTGTGCTTGATTAAACAGCAAAATACCTTAATGATCGCAAGGCATGATGGAATTATTGCATAATTTCGCGATCGTCACGGAGACAAGGTTGATTTTGAATTCACCGTTATGAAGTCTGTTTTAGGGATTTAGAGCCCGTCTTAAATCTTACAGCAATCTAGTTGAGGTGGCTTTTTGTTCCGATAGAATTCCCAATGGGTATTTGATGTTTCGTGCTTTTTCAAATGCATTTTACGGTTTATTCCCAAAATTTCGGCAACTTGAATTAGGATACTCTACTAAAAAAAAAAACAGTGAATGACTTAAGAAAAAAAAATACTAAAATAACACTAACCACTTCGTTCTCTTAAAGCTATTCTACAGTCAAACTCGCTTCCAGGAAACAAAATGTCAGCCTGTAGAAACCTACGAGATGGAAGGATCAGCCACCCTCGATACCGTGAGCGTGTTTTTTCATCTTCGAAGTAAATTTCTTCGATTATATTTTTGACGTCACAAAATGGGACTGCTTCCTCTTTCACTGTTTTGTCAGAGTCCTTGCTCAGTACCCATATCTGTTCTACATAACAATAATCATGTTACGACTTTTAAAAGGAAACAATAACTTCAAGTGACCCTTTTTCTACCATTTTTACCAGGTTAACATTCAATTCATCTTAACTTCCATAATTCATGCTTTGGGTTACTATCTCAAACAGAGTGTCATTCTGCAACCAAACAAATGTAAGTGCTTACATCCAAGGGTTGAAAATAGTTTGTAAATTTTAAAATGAGCCTAAACTGAAATACATATAGGCTACATATATAAAGTGGAAAAGGTTTTCGTAAACCGTAATTTGAGCCAGACAAATTTAATCGTGAAATGATGTAAAATCAACTATTAGGTCCAGAATCCCAAAAAACTGGGATGTAAAATCAAGTATTAAGCTGGTTAAAATTTGCTCTGTGCACCCCTTCTCCATACCTTGCCCTTCAGTTCGTGTCCGCTAGATACAACAAAGGTCAAGTCATATCTTGCATGATATTCTCTGGGGTATTTCTGACCGAAGCTCCTCTCTATGGTATGCTCATCAACATTAACACCTTCTTTAATGCAATTTTCCAGTAATCCTGTCCTTCCTGAAGTTGTAATTTTTTTGTTGGTTCTTCAACACTCCATTGTTCTTCACCTGAAACCTCCTCTGTAAGCAATCAAGCGTTTCAGATTAGTACTACAGGTACTGCACGTTTAGCCGGAGCCAACTTCAGTTCTTATTTATTAGAATGTTACCAGCGAGTTTCCAGTATGTTTTGATCATTATTCTTGCTTGCTCTCATTTAGATGAGTGATCAGTAAAGCTAGGAGATACGTGCAATAGATTTTATTTTTTGTTAATTTTTGTAAGTTTCATTATATATTTAGTCTACGAAAGCCGAGAAGGGACTTCAGACTTCAGACTTTAGACTTCAGACTTCAGACTTCAGACTTCAGACTTCAGACTTCAGACTTCAGACTTCAGACTTCAGACTTCAGACTTCAGACTTCAGAATTAATAAAGGTGACTGGAGAGTTGAAGATTTTAAAAGCCTTCACAGTTCACGAAATTAGACTTTAGACCTCAGAATTCTGTCCTCAGTCTTCCAAACGTGAAAAAAACATTTGGAATCCGTCAGTGTGCGTCATCATGTTTCGGTAAGTGAAGAGTCCCTGATCCTTACTTGTTTTAATCATTCTATTTAAGACGCGAGTGAATGGTACTTTAATTAACGTTAACCATGTTCTGAAACAGGTTGCTTCATCTTATCTTCCTTCTAAACACGCTATGTCTAGTGCAGAGCGTTTTACCTGTCTACACACCTGCTCTAAACAAACACTCTGGCTTTGAGAGAGAAAATGCAGTCAGACGCTACTTCTCTCAAGGATTTACCAACGCTGAAATTACTGGCTTTTTAGCTTTACAACATGGCATAG